CCGGGGCTGCCGCAGGGGGGGCGGCCGGCCCGGCCCGGGGGCCCGTCCTGCTCGGGCTCGGGCTCCCGGCAGCACCCCGAGTTGTACTCGGAGCGTTTCTCGCCGCAGCCCGGGGTGTCGTCTGCGTCTGGCATTTCTTGCCAAAGAATCACAGCATATTTGAAATACTTCGTTTCCCTTGATGCTATTATTTCCCCCCCCCAAAGAAACAAATCTGTAAGCTCCAAGCTTCCAGCTCCCCTGCGGGCTCAGGCCGTGCAGGTGGCAGTTCCTGCCCCCGGCAGGTGTTAGGCAGTTTAGCCGCAGTCCCGGCAGCGGGGAAAGCCCCTCGCTCTCTCGAAAAGCCCTTGCACGCTCCTCAGCAGAGCAGCGCCCGCGAAGCGGGGATGAAGTTGCCCTTGGTGTTGTTGGCAGCCGTTAGTATTGCAGCCAAAATGTCACACAGGTAGAAGTCAAACGGCATTAGGACAGAGCAAATAACGTATTGAGGCTGCTGAAGAGGGCAAAAATTTGGGGTTGGTGTATGTGTTGCTCAGCTACCTCATGCATTAGCTCCATTAGCAAGCGCACAGCCCTTGGAAACCCATCTTGGGAAATGGCACGTCATTGATTTTTTACCCAGATAAAGTTCTGAGACAGCTCTCATTGGTTAACGTCTACGTGGATCTAGATCTGCGTTTCATTTCATTATAAACAGCTTCGGGAATATAGTTTGCAGCTTTTTATATGACATTTCTTACAAACGATTTGCAACACACCCATCAGGTGGTGGGTGAAGGCAGCAGAGCCATCGCCACCCCTGCCCCGTTGCCGGTGGGTTGGATGCCACCTCCCCGCGGAAGGCAGCAGGGAGCAGGCAGGGTTCCTGCCACTCCACTGCCTCCGTGTGTAACAAACCCCCAAACACTGGACCAGAGAAAGTGCTTGTTCGGCTCTGGAGAAAACAACTGCAGCCCATGAACATCACACCCTCACTTACTAGATTGGGGATGTGTGTGTGCATGTAATAATATCATCATTTGAAACTAAATCTTCCTGAAGAACAAAGTGAGATTAAAATTTTGAATCTTTATGGGTGAGACACCAACAGTAGTTAACCCAGTAATACCTGTATTTCTACAATCTAAAAAAAAAAAACATTACAGAGTAGTTATGATTTCTCTTTATCTAAAATCTCACCATAGTTATCATATGTCACATTGCAACAACTTGAAATGCCATTTTGTCATCCTGTCTTTTGAAACCATTTACATTCCTTTAAATAAACATATTGGGAAAGATCTGTGTGCAAGTTTCAGAGCAAGACATAAAATCATTCCAGAATACCTCTGGTTGGGAAAAATCACAGACAAGATGGTGGTGGCTGGGACAGTGCCAGTGCTCACTGCTGCACAGGTGAGGAACTGCGAGTCCCAAGGGGTCTGCCTGGCCTCTGTCCCTGCGGGGGTCAGACCCTGCCCCTCTGACAGCCACATCCCAGTGCCCACGCCCTGGGTTAGGAACATTTTGCCAGCATCTCTGGCAGAGTAGCATGCAAGAAACGCATAAAACCAAATCTATCAGTGCTTTTCTGACAGTGCACTCACTGTGCACAATTAATGTATCTGTCTCCAGCAGATTAATTCACAATTACATTTTCTTCATTATCTGTGGGCCCAAGTAATGGAAAAGCCCAATGCCACCCCCTCTAACCTGATCTTATCTCATTCCCAACAAAAACTTTGACTTCCAGGCTGGAAACAGTATGTAAAATTAAACCTTTTACTATACCTTCCAGAACTGTGGTCCTGATCTGTAAGGATACAGTCAAAGAAGGGTATAAACATATTTGATGGCATTTTTTTTATCATCTCATACTCAGGTGCTGAAACAGGTTGCCCTGAAAAGCTGTAGGAACTCCATCCTGTAGACACTGAAAACTTGGCTGGCCCTGGCCAAGCTCACCTGTGCAGCTCCTGCTCTGCATTGGGGCTGACCAGCAGACCTCCAGAGGTCCCATCCAACCTAAAATTACTCTCCGAACTCTAAACCTTTCCTTGTACCACAGCTGCCATCCTCCCTAGCTGAGACATGGCTTGGACAGAAGGAATGAAGTTGAGCTAAGCAGAACATCAGTGACAAAATCCCTGGTAAAATTCTGCATGGGCACCACAACTCCACTGCACTGACCTTACTGATGCTATCAGGAGGTTAGCTGTGCCACCAGCAAATCCATGCCTGAAGTGAAGGGAACGAATGCATGTGAAGTCTGGAAGAGAGGCTCTGACCCATTAAAAAACAGTGAAAAGATTCAAACCAGGTAGCAGATGAACTCTGGGCTTTTTCTGCAAGAAAAAGTTGTTGCAACCATTTCAAATTGAGCAAACAAAAGAAGTCCACATCTGCCTTGACTGTCATCTTCACACATGCAGATTTCCTACCTGTTCTAATGGTAAATCAGATTCCTCCTGTCTGCCTGTGCCTTAGATTGATTAATCTGAATCAGTTCCCTAATGAGCAACAACTCACTGCATTTAAAGTAACTGTATGTAACTTTTAACAAGTTCTTCTTATTCAAGTGGTATTTTCAGAAATTTTTGTTACTTGGACATTTCCTTTTAGCAATTAAAACAATATTAGTAGAAAGAAGTTACTAGCCAGAGTAAGGACCAGCTCCTGCAAAGAACTGGCGTACTGACGTTTGGTGCACAGTACTTCCTTCTCCCATGAGTATTAGCTATGGAAGCAAAAGAAACTTCAACATCATTGTGTTTTCTGTCCTGCTTCACACAGTATTTTTTTCATTATCTATATGGTTTTAAATGTTAGTTTAAGCATTTAGATAATTCCTCTATGCAATAGGCACACAGGAAATAGCTTGGTGAAAAGCTGCCAATAGTGGAGTCTATAAACACAGTTTGATCTGTATCTTAGAAAATTGTTTCCATTCCAAACTGTGGTTACAAAGCACTTTTTCTTGTTGGCAGCTGGATTTTTTTAAATCCCTATGCATCCTGTATTTGCCCAACAGAGTTGGCATTGATCACACACACAAAAAAAAACTCCAACCGTGCAGATAAAATAACATTAAGGATCTGGCTGGAACTAACTTCAGCCAGTGGAGCAAGAGTCAAAGCTGAGCTTTTGTTTTCAGCTCAGCCTGTTTTGTTCAGGAGCTGTAAAGCACACAGTGCTGAATGTGAATCTTTTACTCAGCCTTCTACAAAAAGTAAAAGCTCCTTCAAGAGGATGGGACTAGACCTTGCATTGGCTTGAAGAGGCTTCTTATTAAGAGACTGGCAAATATTTAGGACCGGTTAAACAGTGTGACCTTAAACAAATAGAAAGCAGTATTCTTCTGAAGGTACAAAGAGAAATGTTTTAAAAAGCTTTTTTCATTAACAGACTGAGATTTCACCAATTACTTAATTTTTCTGAACTGATGGCATGAGCATTGTAAATGACTGCACAAGTAAAAAGTCAAATTTAAGTTGGAAAATGAGAAGGATATCCCCGATGAAGAAGCTGATGCATAGGTGGCCACATTTGGGCTCTGATCTAGCTGAATGATGAAGTTAGGCAGATAAATAGTTCCTAATAAAAGACTGAAAAATAACCTTTACAGCCTTGCTGACAGTTTCAAAGGTCAGCTCTGCCTCAGCAGATACGTGAAGAAGCTGTGCTTTCCTAAGTACACAGGCTTTCATTTCTGTATAAACTCAGGGACTGGTTTTGAACTGCTCTGATTTTGGAAAAATTAATCCCTCAGAGCATCTAAGACCTGCTCCTGTACCTGAAATAAAAGTTATATATTAATTTAGGATGTAACTGT